TTGGCAGGAAAACAATTCATTTGAGAGGTGGATGGGAGAGAAATATGACATGAATCAGTCTAGTCCGTCCGTTATAAAGATAGATTTCCTTTCTTCATTCTCCATTTTTCTTGCCATTATTATTATTTAAAACTTTTTTCCTTGCCATTATTATTATTTTTAAATTTTTATTTATTTATTTATTTATTTATTTATTTATTTATTTATTTATTTATTTATTTATTTATTTATTGCAGCTCACAGCTATGTGGTGCAATCATAACAGAAGAGTATATTTTGCTTTGGTCTTAGTCGCAGTCTGCTGTGTTTTCCCAGGAAGATGCTCTCCCAGGACAGTTTTCCCCAAAGACTGTTGCTCTGATTCATACATTCTTTTTTTTTTAAATTGCTTTAGTTTTACCTCATTTCTACCCTTGCTAATGTTATAAAATGCCATAAAGAAATAAACACCAGGGGACATGAAAGGACAGACAGACCTTATGGTCGTCTGCTCTGCTGGCAAAGACTCAGCTCTTCAGTACTATGTGGAACATTCCCGAGGGTGAAGCTGTCCCTCTACAACAGTTCTCTGTTCACAGCACGGGATTGGTGCCACCCCTCCCCTCCGTGTGGCAGACCTTTGCTGAGAGGATAATGCTAAATTCTGTCCCATGCACCAGTTTTCTGTTCCTCCCTCTCCCTCGGCTACCAGGAAGGAATGTTTAAAATCAATATTCTGCAGCTGTGTGGTTATGTGGCTACTCCCGTCTAAGCGGGAAACGTTCAGTGCTGGCTTCTGAATGCTCCCCTTTTGTTTCCTTCTAAAATGAACATTATAGAAAACATTCAAACCCATGGACTTGAACTTGAAAGGCTACTTCGTGGTATAGAAACCACCTTAATGACTCAATGCACTTTTATTGTTTTCTTACTGGGAATCTTCACAAATCCTCATTAGAGCCCACAGGAGTGATGCTAGCAGAGAAAACGGGGGCGTCTTCTAAACACTTCGGGGGGTCCTTGACCTCTTGGGAAAGATGGCAACTCCGCTCAGCTTCCAGCTGCTGAATCCTCCTCTCCTTTTCTTCCAGAGCTGCTTCCAGCTGAATGACCCTCTCAGTCTGAAGGGAAAGCTGTGTGGACAGCTCCATAATCAAGCTGATTTTCCTGTCAGTTTCTTCCACAGGCAGGAGACCCTCACAGCACCCGTCCGGCAAGTCAGCTGCGGAAGCAGACAAGAAAAGGGAAACCTGAGCCACTTTAATTGGGTTCTCAGAACTTAGAGAGGGAAGGTGAAAAGGCCTCGTTTCTCACGTTCTAAAAAAGAAAGCAGAGGTCTTCCAGCATCTGGTTAAATATACTGAGAAGGGAATCCAGACTCAGTGAGAAGATTCTGATGCTCCTGAAAGAACTTGGAAGCCTCTCGAGAGTGAGGAGAATCAGCCTCTGCCAACTCTTTTAATATTTTGTGCTTAACTTGCAATTAGCTATGGGAATGGGTTGACCTTCAAAATTAACCTACAAACATCAGTCTTCCAAGTTTCGTGTTTTCCTTTTCCCTCAGAACCTTTCACAAGAGCTATAATCAAGCAGAAATAGGCTTTGAATGAAATTTTTATTTAATTGAGAAAAAAAGCTTATCATTGTCTCTTCTGGGGAAATGTTAGAAAAGATAGGTTTCTCAATCCAAGTCAGTTTTAGAGTTGGGAGCGTTGTACCTGGAAGTGATCTGGGAAACTACTGTATTCGGAGAGCATCTCCCATAAAGATTCAGTTCTTCGAGGTCTGAAGACTTATAAGCATTTCCCCCCACCAAAAAAATTGCAAATTTCTCCTAGTCATAAAAACTTATCCTTTGTCGATTTATGCCACCTAATCCCTCAGATAAGGATAAAGATCTGGGTAAGGCGGGAGAGAGAGAAGCTCCAACAAAGAGATCAGAAATCAGTGATTGGCAGCAGAGAATCCTTGAAAATGAATCTCAGTAGCCCACCCAAGATTTAGCTCCGTGAGGTAAACCTCACATACTAGACTTCAGCAGCACTTCCCTTCTCTCACTCCCTTGAAAACTTCTCCGTCAAAGTTCTCTAGACTGTAGAAAAGGGATATGTAGATATAAGTAGAAAAGGAACTCAAGAGCCTGGATATCATTTTAGGAGTAACGGCGCCCGTAGCATATGAATGAACGAACGCACCGCCCGGACATGGGATTACGACCGCTCGGTCCTCAGCGGAAAGAGTCCTCACAGCTGCACCTAAGAAAAACTCCTGTCTGGCCAGGATGCAAAGCCTGCTACTGTTGTGCACCGAACGTCTAAGGATGAGGCAGCTTTGCTGAGTTAGGCGTGCAGGCAAGGCATCGCCCATTTCTCAGCAAAGAAGACTGACTGGCTGTCATCACTTTCTCTAGGGATTGTAGGATGAAAGCTTGATCATCACACTGCCCAGGGTACAGGATTTTTTTTTTTTTTTTGGTTTCATAAAAGTGTTAAGAGGCTAGCCAGGTGAGGTGGCACACTCCAGTACTACCAGCACTTCAGAAGAGGATCACCATGAATTCAAGGCCACCTGGGACTACATAGTGAGTTCAAGGCCAGCCGGAACTACCTAGGCGAGACCCTGTTTCAATCCTGTCTCAAAAAACAAACAAATAAAAGTGCTAAAAGGAGAGATTTGGCCATTCTCTGCTCTTGGACATTATTATTAGCAATTACTAAATTTTACACATTCACATGGAATCTTTTGCCCTGATTATTTGAAATTCTAATGTTAATATTTAAAAAGATGGTGGCTTTGAGGCAGGAGATTAGGGCACAGCAAAGTGGCTGGGCAAGCCAGTGTGACCTGTCCATCACAGAGATTCGGGGCACAGGCGCAGAAGGCTTCCCAGGCCCTGTGCCTGACCCCGTCAGAGAATGTATCTTCAATTCTTCTGGCACAAGATCAAGCAGGGTTTTGTATAGGATGGCCTAGGTCTGACATCAGAATGGGGGCCATAAAATACGTCAGCCATGACTGCTTTGCCAGCCACCACCTGCTGCCTCAAGTTCGCCAAGCTCGAGTTGAAGGAGAAGGGGCTGAGGAGGTCTGTACTATGGTTCCAACCTAGCAGATTGCCTACAGATCCATAGGTGGTAAAAAGCCCAGGAAACAACTGGCCACAAAAGCCGCCTGTAAGAGTGTACCCTCTGCTGGAGGGATGAAGAAACCTCATTGTTACAGGCCACGGACCGTGCCAGTCCGTGAAATTAGACGTTATCAGAACTCCACTACCTTCTGATTTGCAAACTCCCTTTTCAGGATCTGGTGAGAGAAATTACAAAGGGCTTCCAAACAGATCTGTGCTTCCAGAGCACAGCTATTGGTGCTTTGCAGGAGGCAAGTGAGGCCTGAGTGTTTGAAGATACCAACCCATGTGCCATCCAGGCCAAACGTGTAACGATTATGCCTAGAGATGTCCAACGAGCATGCCACATGTCTGGAGAATGTGCTTGAGTCCACGATGGTGGGAAACATTTTGTTCTCAAAAAATCTTTTTCTTTTCTTCCTGTTATTGGTAGTTCTGAATGTTAGATATGTTTTCCTCCATGGGATCAAAGGGTACCTAAGTACACAATTGAGAGTGAACAGAAATAGGGAACAGAAATCAGGTGTTGGCAGTTTTTCCATTTTCATGTGTGTGTGAATTTTTAATATTAATGCAAGGATGTAAAGCATTAATGCAAGTAAAAATGTTTCAGTGAACAACTTTTAATAGTTCAACTTTATAACAATGATAAATAAACCTGTTAAAAATTTCTGGACAATGCCAGAAGTTGGATTTCTTAAAAAACAAGTAAATTTCTTTTCTTTTTCTTTCTTTCTTTTTTTTTTTGAACTGGGGATCGAACTTGCAAGCCCACACTTTCGAGGCAGGCAGTGGCACCACTGAGCTAAATCCCCAGCCCCCAAAACAAGGTACATTTCTTATTGACCACACCAAATGATGTTTGTAGCATTATTATCATACAGTAGATTCCATCCAGTCACTATAGTTTTCCGAGTTGTCTTACATGCTAGTACATGTTCTTAATGCTGCCTTTTGGGGCTGCTCCTATAAATATGCTATTAAAATACATTAAACTGTAAAAACAAAAAAAAAGATGATGGCCACTAACCTGTGAAACGTTTCACACACCGTTCTGCAGAGTGTACTTTTTTCCTACCTTTAATTGGCTTACTCTCTCTCCACAGAGAATACTTCTTTTTCTATCTTTAATACCTCTAATAAATGTAAAAGCCACGGGGCTGGGAATTTCCTCAGTGGCACTATGCCTGCCTCATAAGAGCAAGGTTCTGAGTTCGATCCCCATACCAGGAAATAAATAAATGAATGAATAAATTAATTAATTAATAAAATTAAATTTTAAATGTGAGATAATGAAAAGATGGAAATAAAATGGTTGTAGATGGGGAGGGGAGGAGGGGGTGAAGGGAGGGCAGGGACAAGGGGAAAAAATGAGAACCAAGACCTGTCATGTAGAGGTACAAGATCCCAATGATGAATGTGACTGTACTGTATCCCTAAAATGTACCAATAAACTCAATTAAAGCTGAAAAATAGTACCCATCCTCAAAAATTAAATTTTAAAAATGTAAAAACATTACTATCTTATTTCTTGTCCAATTTGCTTAGGACAAAACCTTAGGAAAAATAAATTTCTGGAAAGGTTATGCTACCTCAGAATCTGGGCAACAGTTTGCGTAATTCTCAAACTTCAGAGCATGTAGATCATGGTGTCTACAGCAGGCACTGCTTTCCAGCCCAAGAGGGAGTTGAGATGGCGGGGGCCAGCCTCACCATCTCCTTCATTCGGTCAGAGCGCCACTGTCCAGTGTAGAAGCCACACGTGACCAATAAGCAACTGGATGTGCCTGGGCTGAAATGAAATGTGCTGTAAATTGTTGGTTTGAAAGACTTTGTTTTAAAAAACGTGAAATTTCTCATTAAATTTTTCTATTATTTATGTCTTAAATAATATTTTGATGTATTGTGTTAAATGTATTGTTGAGATTTTTTTCACTCTCATAGTTTTACCTTTTAAAACTGTAGTAACTGGCACACGTACAACGTGCGGCTGGCATTTGTAGCACTCATCACGTCCCAGCTGGACAGTGCTGGGCTGTTTCTCTTCAGATGAGCACACACTGACGCTCAGGTGGACGTGTTACTTGTACGTGCACAGACCTAGTACAGCTGAGAACACGGATTCTCGGCCAGAGATCAATGTTCTGCGGCCTAGAAGGTCACAGAAGGTAGGGGCACTGGCGTGTTTCAGAGAATGGGATCTTATCGGCTGTGCTAAGTTTCAACAGGAGCGGAAATTTAGAAAATGAAAGACGCCGCAAGTGGGAGTGGAAGAAGGCAAGGATGTGAATCGCAGACAGGATGGGAAGGCTGGGCCTCGGGAGCCGAGCTCTTGAACACGCCCGCCCGGCAGCTGCTCTTCGCTCGCTCCTTCACGCCCTCTCTACCCAGCTTCTCCTCGTGCACAAGACCCTGCCTTCACAGAGACGTGCAGTAAGAAATGTAGTTTTGTGCCACTCCACAAAGCGAACTGATCTGTCTCTCTGCCTGCCTGTCTGTCTGTCTCTGTCTCTCTCTTTCTTTCTTTTAATAAGGCTATGTAGATAGAAAACTGAAAACTTTATTTACATTGTTCTAATCATAAAGGTGCAAAAATGCAGCAGAAAAACCTTACATAGGCAATTATAGAGACACCACATCTACATTTTCTGTCTCAGAAATGGAATCAGAGGGAGACAATAAAAAGAAAACAAGATAAAAAGCAGGATGTATTAGTCTGTTTGGAATACTACAAAAATCATATTGGGTTGCTTAGAGTCAGTATTCCCCAATGTTGGGGGCACCAGACGCCAGTCTTAGAAGACAATCCAAGACCCCTTGCACACTCAGTTCACAGAAGGATTTGCACTGCTCTGTAAATTAATGCTACCACTGGTCAGACAGGAGTTTCAGGTGGTAATGTAGGCGACAAGGAATGACTGTAAAGACACAGAGCTCTGCTTGCTTGCCAGCTGCTCACCTCTTGCTGTCCAGCCCAGTTCCTAACAGGCCAAGGACTCGTAGTGATCCATGGTCCAGGGGTTGGAGGACCCCTGGATTAGACAATAGGCATCTGTTTCTAACAGTTCTGGAGGCAGGAAATCTCAGGTCAGACTGTCAGGATGGTTGGGCCTTGGTGCAGACTCTTCAGTTTATACGTGGCTCCACCTGCTGTCTGTGTCCTTACGTAGTGAAGGGGCACAGAAAGCTCTCTGGTGTCTCTTCATTTAAGGGCACTAATTTCACCATGAGGACCCCTCGTGTCCTGATCTAGGCCTGATTATTAGTTACAGTACTCTCCACAAGCCTCATTGCTAAAGACTATAAACAGGGGTCAGGGCTTCACCTATGAATTTGGAGGATGCATAATCCTGTCCATAGCACAGGGAGAAGACAGCTGAAAAGGAGTAGAAAAGGAACATGAAGCTGAAAAAAGGAGAGACAGCATGAGATCTGTGCTTCCCATTGCCTCGTTCTTGTGCATTCCTCATGAGAACACCAATCAGGAGTATACACACCCAAAAGGAAATTTCTCATACAAGACTATTTTACTATCAAATGATCTTTTAATGCATAATCAAATTAATTTTTTAATTTCTAAACACACTGCATATAATAAAGGGATGTTAAACCCTCCAACAACATGGGCACTCTGAGCGTCTCCACCCTGTTTGTATATTAGAAATCATCCCGGTGAGTTTTCTTGACTCTACCACTAACACACATTTTGCTCCCCCTTCATTAGGCCTCCGTCATCTGTAACAGGAAGGGGCAGGTACCTCTAACGGCCTGATGGCTTCCACGTACCAAATCTCAAATATCTGTAGCCTTCCCTAGACTTTTGCGGGCAGTCAGATAATCTTACCAGAGCCATGCCTGCCGGATCATGGAAGTTCGGCCATCTGACCAGGTGGACCCATGTTTCATCCCACACCCGGAGACTTCGGGTGACCCAGAGACAGCCACAAGAAGGAGTCTTTGAGAGAGGTGAAAACCTAATCAGGCACAGTCAAAGCATGAACTTGACATTTTTGTGGAGACTTTTATAAACATACACCAGTTTTTATTATTTTCTCCTTTCTGCCTGCACTTAAAATAGATATTAGGAGCCTCAGGATGTGGCTCAGTGGGAAAGCACTTGTCTAGCATGCACAAGGCCCAGCGTAGCTGAGAATGAGGCTTAGGATCATAGCAAAGAGGAGGCAAAAGACACATGATAAAACTGGGTACAGTCTGAAAGATTTACAAAGTAAGAAGACTTCTGTCTGCAACCGAGCTAGGCTGTGTTCTCTTTCTGTAGTAGCCTTGAAAGACCAAAGGCACAAAAGAAATTGTGGCACTGGCTTTTGGCTATTTCCAGCTTACAATTCTTTATAGCCTCAAAACCTTCATGCTGTTAGCAAAGCACCACCCAAGAACTGGTTAACAACTCATAATAACTAAGCAGATTAAAGAAGTAATTATAGTTTAAGGAATAACTTGGAGCCTGATAGTTGGAATGTATTTGGGGGATAATCTGGTTTTGCATGCCATTTAGTATAGGAACTCTTTCTTCAACATTTCTATGATACTTTTCTAAACAAACAGCTAGCTCTCCGACACTGGCTGCTAAATTGTACTCAGCAGGTAAAATCTGTGCACGAGTGAACTCAGGACCTAAGAATGCTAGGCATACACTATAGCACTGAGCTATACCCTTAGCCCCAAACCTGTGGTGTGTTATCACTGCAGGTGCAAGCTGTTACAGAGATAAATGACAGCTGTGAAGCTATGACAGATAAACACGGGGATGACTGGGGTACACAGGTTGCTGATCAGAGAAATTACACAGGATATCATCTTAGGTCAGAAGGCCTAGAGTATGTTAGAACATTGTTTCATGAATCCAGGAAGTTAAGTTTTCTATAAATAGTGATAGAGTGTTGAATGCTGGGCCAGTGAATGGCTGGAAGTGTTTTTCAGATTTTCTAAATACTTTTTTTCTAAAACAGGTTGTTGTTACCATTTGGATCCCTTTGCTGCTGCCACCCGAAAGTGTTCCTTAAAGAGAAAAATGCTGGGAACCACAGACCTAGTCTCTGAATCAAACACCTCTAACCAGGGGAAGCATACTGCTCCCAGTTGGATGTCAGCTAGGGAATACTCTACTGTAATCATCTTTTTGCTCATTCATTTGTCCAGTAACTAACAATTGGGACTCTACACACAGAATAAATAAGATGCGATGTTGGCTCCTACAGTCGCATCTCCATTGTGGGGCCAGGAAATGCAGCCTTGTGTTGGACCCTAAAGGACATTCGTGATTTGCTTAGACGAACACCTCCACTGGGTACTCACTTGTGAAAGTTTACTTTTCTTTCTGCCTTTCAAGAGATGACCAAGCCTGCCAAGTGTTTACTCAATAAGAAAGACTCTTACGGATGAGGTGATTACCTACCTCATTCTGCCAGAGCCACCCAGGATTGCTGTTTGGCCTACAAGACTATATCAACCTCCTCCTCTACACAAATGCCCATTGCTCTGACTCACTTCATGTTGGCTTTAAAAGCTGTGTATATTTGTCAACAACCACCAAAGGGTCTAGTTTCATCTCTTGTCATACCTGGGCTTGTGGTCTGGCACATCGCTATAAATATATCCTTCTTGGCAGTGCATTCTTGTAATCTCAGCACTCAGGAGGCTGAGGCAAGAGGATTTCTGTGATTTGAGGCCAGCCTGGGCTGCAGAGTGAGTTCAAGGCCAGCCTGGACTACATAGGGAGACCCTGTCTCAAAACAACCCCCTCCCAATTAAATCAATTTAAAAAAATATATCTTTCCCATCTGAACAAAAAGTAACACAAACTTTCTAGTTATCTGCCCATCTTAATGGGCAACTCAGAAAGGGTAATTCTCTGAAATAAATTATTTAATTTTTTTTGAATTTTGTAGCATAGTTTATCTCTTAAAACTCAGATTAGTGCTATGTCTTGAAGTTTTCTGCATTCTCCCTCTTTAATATTTTTATTTGTATAAGAAGGCCAGCCTTAGCTAGGCATTATGGTGCATGCCTATATACCAGCTAATTGAGAGGCTGAGGCAGGAGGCTCAAGACCAACCTGGACACCTTACTGAGACCCTATCCAGAATAAAAATTTTTAATATAGCTCAGTATTACAGTGTTTGCCTACATAAAAACAAAAATAAGAAAATAAGCAAAAAGATTGGTCTCTGCAGTGCCAAAAGATCGACTTCAAAGGCATTTCAGTTTCCTTTCACAGTGTTGCGGACACGTACAGTGCATTTTAAGGTTGTGTGTATTATTTGATTTGGGGAAAAACAAGCAGCATTACAAGAACAGATTTGACTAGTAAATAACTTTGATAACTTAAAAATAAACAGGTATGATAACTGTGTGTCATGAGTTACAGTAACAAAAGATTATACACTGGCAGCTTATACACAAGATAAACTTATTTCACATGTCCTAAGGCTGAGAAGTCCACCACTTAAGTGAAAGCACAGTCAGTGCGTGGTGAGGTCTCATTCCTTCTGGCTGGCATTTTCTATTTGTCCTTAGATGGTGAAAGCCTGTTGGCTCCCTCAAACCTCCTTCACAAGGGCAATGACCCATCCACTAAGGCTCTCCTACCCACCTTCTAGAGGGTCCATCTTTTTTTTTTTTTTTTAACAGAGTCTTGCTATGTAGTCCAAGGTGGCCTCAAAATCACTACATCCCCTAGGCTGGCTTTGAACTCAGGTCAACCCTCCTATCTCCAGAGTACTGGGATGATGGGCCAGCACCACAACAGCCAGCTTCCATCTTTTAATAGTGATATATTGGGGATTCAATTTGAACAGATGAGTTTTACAGGGACACTGGGGTTCTGACCACATCCACTGCTCCAGTGTCTGGAATCAGAGTGGAGATCTCGTGGATAAGGACACTGTGAGGGCTTGGTTAGTAGCTAGCGACCATGTAGGATGAAAACACTTGTTTTTAGCTGCTAATATCCCTATGATAGTTTGATGTTCTCGCTGAGATATGTGGAGCTAAATAGATCAAGGGAACTGCAGATTCTCATCTTCTTATGTATATTCAGAAGTATTTAATCACTGTAGTGTCATTTATTTAAATGCTAATTCCCAGCACATAGAGTTGAAATATTGCAATAGCTTCACATCTGGTCAACTTGCTTCTGCTACTTAGGTCTTGTTTCATCTCTGCACAGATAGGCCCCATTAAAGTATAATTCAGGTCTTGACACTTACTTAAAATCCTTCAATATTCTATCTCATTACACTAAAAACCTAAGGTTACCTACAGTAACCTTAAAGGCTGTATGTGATTTGAGTCCCGTTTAGCTTGCCAATACATCTTATTCTTCCTCTCCAGAGTAAATGCAGCATTTAATTTACTACATTTCCACCATTCTCATTGCTACATCTACAGACAGGGCGTGTTCCTGCCTTAGAGCCTTGCACCTGCTATTTCCTTGCCTAGGCAGTTGCACCTCTGAAGTATAATGGCTGGGCACCTACTCTCTCCAATGTCACCTTCAAACACTGAAGACTTTCTTGGACGTCTGTTAGAGTTTTGATAAAATGTCCCCCATAGGCCTCATGCGCCATAGGCAGGGCTTTGGAAGGTCACTGACTCATGGATGGCAATACTGGTGTTTTTAGGAGGTGGAGTCTGGTTGGAAAAGGCGAGTGCCTGGGGCGTAAACTGAAAGTGTGGAACTCTCTCCCTGGCTCCTCATTTGTGTCTCTGCTTCCTGGTCACCATGGTGTAGACAGGTTTCCTGAGCCCAGGCCCTTCCACCATGCTGCCAACTGTCCAAACTGAAACCTTTGAAAGCTGAGCCCAAATAATCCTCTCCTCCTTTAAATTGCTGGTGTCAGTTAATTTGTCCCAGTGACAAGGAAAGCGACTAAGACATCTTACCTATAATTTCAATCTGATGCCCCTAGCTGAACACCTCAAATCCCGGATCCTTGTTTTGATTTTACTGACACACTATATCTGACCACTCTATTTTTTTATCTTGTTCATAGTCTCTCTCATCTACCACAATACAGCCACTGTGAGGGCAGTTTCTTCACGTTTTTGTTCACGACTGTAACCCCTGCATTTAAAATAGTTCTTAGGCTATAGCAGTTACTCACTTGTCAAGTGAATAAATGTGTGAAAGGTAAGTACATATATGACACAAAATCACCGTAGAAAGGGCCAATCCAAAGTTTTCAAGTGGTGTATCAGTAGATTTCCTCACTGGTCATATTTCCTTTCACTACTGCATATAATAATAATAATAACAACAACAACAACAACAAATATTGTGATTGCAGGAAAATACACGACATCTCTGAGTTTATTTTTGTCTCTTTTTTTTGACAGGAAAAGCAAATGTTTGAGTTGATGCCCTAGCCCTTTTCCAAATCTATGACTGAGATTCAGTAATCCTTATAAGTGGTTCTCAAGCCTGGTACCTGGAGGTCTTTGTTGATGTAGAGAATCCAAGGCCTTACCCTTGAAATTCTCATTGAATCTAGAAGAATGTCATGAAACCTACATTTTTACAAAGTTCCCCGGAAAATTCTGATTATCGGCCAACTGTTTAAACTTCTGCTGACTTATAAGAGGCATGGCAAACCAGCTTTTGGCTGAATCCTAACAGGTAGGCCAGAAATCATCCAGGCAAGCCTCTTCTTGACAAAGCTGAAGGACCTGAAGTGGAAGGAAGGAGATCACATCTGTTCCTTTCTTTGTGCCTCTCCCGGGCTATTTGGCAAGGCTACGCCTATAAATGTTACTAGCTGACTAATACATTAACAGTCCTCACAGCCCCTCCTCTCCTTTAATTGGCTTATATGCCAGCAACATCTTGCCAGTTCTAACTTGGCTGAATTATCTCCGGAACATCCAGAGAAAACCATGCGTGTTTGAGGCTTGGTTTTGCTTTTGTTTCCATATCTGTTTTAGTGGATTAATGGCTTCCTTTCCTTACAAGCTGAGCTGGAGGAGAGTCTCTCTTTTTCTTTGTATGAACAATATGTGGGAAGAAGAGGATGAGCCAGAAGAGAGGAAAGGAGGTTCACCCTTAGATGGAAGCCCAGGAACTCCTCCCCAGCTTCTGTAGAGGACCAACAGCTGTCACCACACCACACAGGAGGAAGTGAATCCATCTGGATGACCTGCACCAGAGCTTTACTCGCATCTTGCTGAAGCCAGCTGGTCTACCTCAGAGATCATCGTTAACCACAGAAAGATGTGTGGCTGGCTACCTTGGCACCAGAATGGGAGGAAGAGATGGCTGTGTGGAATAGCCAGTGATGATGTCTCAGAGATCATGCACACTGGTGTGGGACCTTGAAATATGCCAGCCTGTCATGTGTTCCTTTGGAATACTTCAAGATGGCTATCTGAGAAACTACACACAGTTTCAGAAACTCCAAAAGGCTGCCATTTTGTAAAAGAAATATATGTAAAGGGAAATGTACCTTAGTGAAGAAAACAGCCAGCAGTATAAACAGACTTTTCTATCTGCTATCCTCCTTTCTGTCTAGGATGGATCTTCACAGGAAGAACCAATTGGGGTCTGACACATGGCCCAAGCAGAGATGACCGCAGGTGGCTTTTGCCTGGGAGACTTCATCTGCATAACATGACACGCCTTGTTCACTGTGTCCTTGTCTCCTCAACCTTCCATAGCTGGCCACCCCCTCCTCCCACTCCAGAGGTCCCAGGTCCATCCCTTTATGTACTTCTGTATAAGCTTCAACTGTCTAACCCTCCTTGGATCTCATACTTTGAGTATGGCTCCTGTGTTTCTGCACATTAATAATTGTTTTCCTTTCTTAATGCATCTTTTGTCAGATTACTTCATGGCCTGAAATTATCAAACCTTCGAGGAGAGTGCATTTAAAATGTCTCTACGTTGGTCCGTGGTGAGAGATGGACTCTGTGGGGCAGGTTTCCATTCCTACAAATAAAATAGCTGAGATAATCAGCTTATAAAGAAAAAAAGTTTGGGCTTTGGGGTGTAGCTCACTGGTTTAGCATGTGCTTAATGAGTGCATAACCTTGTGTTTAGTCTCTAGCACAGAAAACAGAGGAGCCAGAAGAGGAGGAGGAGGAGGAGAAGGAGGGAGGCAGAGGGCGAGAAAGGTTGTAAGTTGTAGTTTATGATCAGTTGGCCTGGCCATTTTAGGATCTGGTCAGGCAGAGTGAAGAGGGGTGCACATATGACGAGAGAAGCATGTGGAAAAGCAAAACCACCCATGGCCAGGAAATGGGGCACTGAGAGCCCACAGTCCCCTTTAAGGGTATACCCCCAGTGAACTAAAGTGTTCCCACTAGGCGCCATCTCTAAGTTTCCACTACTTCCCATTAGCCCCATGCTGGGGATCAAGAATTTACCATATGTCCCTCTGGAAAACATGTAAGATCCAAACTATATCCTTCAGAGGGAAGAGGGTAAATTTATAACTTCTCTAAGCTGGTCCAAGGTGGGAGGATGGGGAAAATCCCATGGCCAAACATTGTAGCAATGTCATTTTGTCTCTTCAGCAGGAAGGCAAAATGTTTAGGGCTAACACCTAGGGTTAGAGCAGGCTTTGTCCCACCCACTTTAGGGTCTCAGGTCACATGGAGACATTTTACAGAAAGGACTCTAACACAGCTCAGAGGATACTAATACCATTGGCATGATAATGTTCCCAAGTTATGCCAAGAAGTAGTCAATTTAAACACAAGAAAAGGTTTTTGGAACCTGTCTTATTCCTTCCAATGAGCAGGACCTAAATGGCCCTTATGTACACTGGCTAGCTGGCCCGTTCAAAGAGAATAAAGAGAAAACACTATGATTGACAGGCTGCGCAGAAGCCCAAACGTTAAAATGGACCCTTGTGGGAAGGTCAGGAAATTCAAGGAGGGTAGAGAGGCAAGAGACTGTGTAAAAGACAAAATAAGGGAGACAATAAATGAAGGCCTGTTTCTGTTCTTACCAGAGAAAGCAATTAGTAGGACTCAAAGTTGGTTAAGCCAAGATGACTCCAAGTCTTTTGGATTGGAGCATCAAACGTTAGACTTTTGCTGGGCTTTCTTTTGGTGCAGAGAGGTTTTATGGGCCACACAGTTATGAAATGAGGAAGGTTTAATATTTGGTTTGTTGGCATTTGTTTTCAAAAGATGCTAGGCTGATGTGTGGGGCATGCCTTTAATCCCAGCATGGCAGGGAGCTGAGGCAGAAGAATTGCAAGTTCAGGCCATGTCTGGACAAATGGGCAAGATCCTGACTCAAAATAAAAAAATTAAAAAGAGCTGGGGATATAGTAGCTCAGTGTGAATTTCAACCTCCATACTGCAGAAGCAAAACAACAAAAGATGTTATAGTTTCTGGTGTTGTGAAGTGATGCAAATAAAATTATGTCATAGTAATAATAGTATAGGTAGGGCTCTTCTTTGATAAAGACAAGGAAAATTAGTACTTTTTTTTCTGAGAATGATAGGATAAAGGATCTACTATTGTTGAGGAGGATTTTGCTTGTTTCAACTGTACAGAGAAATAGTTTGTGGAATGGGGTATAGGTTGTTTTGATTAGCTGATTTAGCTTACAGATTCTCTGACTATGAACTGCAGTCATCTTTGTATGCACAAGTTCAAGCGAAGTGTGTAGCTACACCTCACGGCATGCAGCCCTTCTCTCCCTTGAGTTTGACCCCACCCTCATTTTCTTCCTTTCTCTTGGGCCTGGAATGCTGTAATGTGCCTCTGAACTCTTCTAGCCCTCTCTATGTATCATAGGGTCTGGAGACAATACCTCTTGGCTTGAGTTAAAAAAACTGTGCATAACATGTAATAAACTATAAAAAAAAATACTATATCCACTGAAGGATCACACAGAAATTTGGGTTGTTGCCTTATTTTCCCTGAACACAAAAAATGGTGATCTGCTGCTGCTACCAGAACAGGGATCTTCACATAAATCTCAGAATAAGTTCTCTTGGGCCAGGGATTTAGGTCAGTGGCTCCATTGCTGGCTTCCGAGTTTGATCCCCAGTACCAAAAAAAATAACAAATTCAATTCTCTTGAGTGTTGAATACCCCCATCACTTGAAAGTGACACTGCTGAAATTTGTTGCTGCGATTTCTACTTACATAAATCATGAAACAGAGGAAGCCCTAAAGAGGTTCCATCCATAATTCTCAGTAAGTTTTTCAGAATACTTTGAAAATATGGAGTGTGGTTGGCCGAATAATGATCTCCCCCAAAGTTTTTCACAAAGTTATGCAGAATAACAGCCCCGGAAATATTCCCAAAACCTGACAGTATTTGGCTTAAGTGAATTAGGGATCTTGAGATGGAAATTAAATTAGGGATGTAATTAAACTAGGGATCTTGAGAAGTAAAGATCATCCTGAATTACCTGGGTAGACTCAATGTAAATAACAAGGGTTAAGAAGGAGGTAGGGCCTCAGAGGCAGAAAAACTTGAAGACACTACACTACTAACCTTGAAAATGGAGAAAGGGGTTACTGGCCAATAAATTTAAGTGGACATAGAAGCTGAAAATTGCAAACATTTTCACTTTAATCTGCTAGAAAGAATACAAGCTCATTGACACCTGGGCTTTAGCCCTTTGATGCTTATTTTGGACATTTGACCTCCAGAACTGTAAAATAAATTTGTTGTTTTCAGTTACTAAGCTTATAATAACTGGTCATAGCTGCAGTAGGTAATCAATAGAAGGAAGGCTAATAAATATCTGAGTATGAGAAAAATATATTATTCATTATAGGAGACCCAGATAATTCATTTAGGCAAAAGCGGCCTTGGATTTCAACTAAGGGCAACTGAAGGTTTTAAAATATCTAGGGAGATCTGAAATCTAGACCCTTCTACCTCCTCTGCAATGTTAAGCTGTTGTATCCTTATAAATATTAACCTTTCTAATGGCTCAAAGCAATTAACATTTAAATATACTCAACTGCTGCCACTTTCAAAAGAATATATAACCCATTCACTACTTAGTACTCTTCAACTCTTTTATCACACCCCCATCCTTTGTTTTGTTTTTGAGACAGGCTCTCACTATGTAGGTCAGGCTGACCTTGAGCTCACTGTGTAGTCCAGGCTGGCCTTGAACTTGAAGTGATCCTCCTGCCTCAATCTCCCAATTACTGGGATTATAGGCATGCACCATCATACCTGGCCTGTATCACTCTTTACATCTTTTGGATGAATTATTTACACTTTCTGATTCCATTTCCTCATATTTTTCTCAGTTAACCCATTGCAATCAAGCTTGGTTTTAATTACATTGATAAATGGCCTTGTGACTTACTAGTGCCACTAAACTCAATGCACTTGTTTTGAGTTCATCTTATTTGATCTCTAAACCACTGCACTTGTTCACGCTTCCCGTACAACATGTTGCTTGATTTCTATGATATGACAATGTTTTCCTTAAGAATTTTGACTACTCCTGGGGGCCGGGGATTTAGCTCAGCGGTTCGGTGGCCTGCTTTGCAAGCGCAAGGACCTGAGCTCAAACCCCGGTACCAAAAAAAAATAAAATAAAATAAAGAAGAATTTTGACTACTCCTTTTGTTGTAGAATTTAAGAGATCAGAGAGACCAACAGGTGAAGCAGCAGGATTTACTTAGGTGTGCACCAAATCAGCAGAAGTCTGTCCAAAGGCTGAGTCCAGAACAAAGGAGGGGCTCTAGTTTTATAAATGTTGTAGGGGTGGTCTACTTAATGGCATGAAAGTTGTGGACAGGCAAGCGAGTTTATAGAAGCAAAATAAAGGCAGCTACTCAAACAGTGACAGTTTGCAATTTAGCACATCTTGGTGGCCTTGGTTGGGTGAAGATAAACAGGCTCAGGAAAGCAGGACATTGTGGAACCATTACTTAGAGGAGCAAAGTTGACAGGACAAAGAACAGCAGACACACAGAGGGGAGACTAAAGAGGAATTTCTTAGGGTGGGGAAACTTCTTTTTCCAAGTCTTGTTTCACTTTGGTTCTATTTTCTATACTTCTCAGAGCAATTACTGCATGGTTATAGTTATACTCCTGGTCTTCAACTTCGTACTTTGTAGTGGTAATGTTTCCACTTCTGTGGCCTTTGTTGCAGTCTATTCGTAAGAATGATAAAATTGACAATGTAGATCTGACCAGAGGTCTGGAGCCTGGACCCCTTATGTTCAGATCTCTTAGAACTTCATATGGAATATTCTCCAAGCTGAACTTGTTATCTCATTACCACAACTGATCCTCTACCAATATTATCCAGGCATGTAAGATGGCATGGCCATGCACCTACTTGTGAAAGTCAGAAACCTGGGGTTATTTTAGATCGCTTCTTTAATCCTATTCTTCTCCATCCATTTTTTTTTTCCATGCTGGGATTGAACTCAGGGCCTCATGTGTGGTAAACATGCTCCAACACTGAGCTACACCCCTATTAATTCAAACTTTTAAGTATTTAACTTGTCTAATTTTCTCCATCACAGTGAGGCCACATAATATGCTTCTGTAACTTCTGTTCTCTTTCCCTCTATGTCCTTATAACTCTCATTCAAAAATTTATGTCCTCCAGGCCTGGGGCTGTAGCTCAGTGGTAGGCTGCTAGCCTAACTTGCGCAGGCCCTAAGTTCAGCCCCAGCACCACAAAAGCGCGATGAATAAACAAATTATATTCTCAATTTCCATGGGGTAATATTTTATCAAGAACTTGTTTGAAGTCTATGTCTCCTCCTCAATTTTCACTACTTTCTGCAAATATAATCTATAATCATGAAGGACTAAGGAGCTGGTGGGAGTCACTTAGATGATATAACTGTATTGGTAGTGGTAAACCTGAATACCTGCATATGTATTGTTAGAATCTACAGGGTATGATTCAGAAGCGACAGAAAAGTAGGTTGTGGAGAAAGAGCCATGAAAGTGGTTCGCGTGCATGAGAAGCAATATAGCAGGTTTGGAGCGGGTTGAAAATGTCGAAGTTGGAAGGCCCTGACCCATTTGAGAGGAATAGGTCACAGAATCAAATATTGTACATCAATCTTAACTCTAATGCATACAATCACATCTAACTTTATTTTTTATTTCTTCCACTGTTTTGTGGATGTAGCTGTTAGTTTAAATTTCACAATAATAAGAAAATGGACAGAGATGAGGTAAGAGCCAGGGATATCTTTGCTAAGTTAAATTGGCAGCATAAAGTCACCTTGTTCTTGAGGACATCCTGAGGAATATGATTCTTTCAATGCCTACTCCCTGTGAAATTCCATTCTAATTTTATCAGCTTGGTTTTATTTATTATTTATTTATTGCAATTTCAAGATGTAATTTCATCTCATCTTGAAATTACAAAAGATAATTAAAAAGTGATGGAGAAATTCCAAAAGGGGGAATTCAAGCAAGCTTTTCTTTTTTCAGGAAATCATGATATTCAGTACAAATGTTAACTTTCATAGATATTTTTCCCATTAGTTACTTACTTTATCAGTAAATTATATCTCTTGAGAATATTATCAAAGCTAATGGTGAAGGAGTTATTTTCAAGTTGGGCTCATATCCAGGGCACTTTAGAGAACTACAAAAATTTGTGTAGGGGACTGATCAAATACTTATTAGCCAAATGCTTTCATATAGATACATGGAAGTTTTGTTACATATATTTGACATAAATAATATCATAGAAACCATATAACTGT